TTGTAAGTGATGCAACGTCATCACTTTCTGCATTTCGGCAGTTTGTGGTTTGGCCGTTATGAAGCAGAGATGACACAGAAGTCCTCCAGCAGACCCTCCAGCCTGTTCATTAGGATGGCATTGTCTCTGCTGTGTATGGGAGATATTATACGGCAGCCGTGGGATCTCAATGATCACCTGACTGTAAAGCTGATGACATATAATCTACATGAACTGACCAAAGTTCATTTCTGGGGTTATTTCTGAACTTGTAACAAAATGGATTTCTGGTGGGATCAACAGATAAATGTATCAGTGAGCTTGTAACTTCTTGTGCCCTCTGCCTTTCAGTACTCAAACCGTGTTTTATTAGGTCACATCTGTGAACACCTCCCAACGTTATGAAGAACATGTGGCCTAAGACAACTTTGGTCATAGGGGTGACAACACACATTCAATGAATTGTATGAGGAGCAGTGTTGTTACCCTAGGACAGGAAGTGTCTTACTGGCAGGATCAGCAGGTGAAGGAAGAAGCCTGTAAAGATAAATGGAATGCAGCCGCCATGTCTGAGGACTGGAAAGTTGTGTTCTTGGGTTTAGTGTGTCATCGATTTGTGACTGGGACTTGTAATTGTATGTCACCCCTTCTAATTCTCTCTCATCCACTTCATCCATCCAATTCACTTCCATCCATTCCCAGTGATTGTAGAACAGTGGCAGCTAATAAGTGGAATCCTATGAAATGCTGGAAATGTTGTGCCCTATCCCCACTGTTCCCCTGAGTGCAGAGGAAGGACTGCCAGTGTAGAGATGTCACAACCTGTTTTGTGTCAGGTTGCGATCTCTGAGGGATGTAGACACTAGCTGGACAAGTCTGAATCCGTTCTACCTGCATACACAGCCTGACAGGCCCATCCCGTCCTCATTGAAGATGGCCCGTGCAGAGTTCTGTGGAGGGGAACAGAGTGAACTCTGCAATTTCCTGTCACCCTGCGGCTTCAGCTATTTCCTGCAGAGGTGACCGATAACCCCCTTCACACCCTTCCGCACACAAGTCTGCCTAAAGACAAAAATACTATGTAGGCCCACAGAGCGCATAGAGCGCTGGGGACTGAGGAGTTTAGACTGACCCTCCATTCCATGATCGGTAAGGTGACCTTTATCTCTCCACCCTCTACTGCGGGCGCTCCAGCTGTTGTAGAACTACAAGTCCCATGAGGCATGCCTGTGGCTGTCAGTCTTGTATGACTAACCGAGCCCAGCTGGAGGGCCAAGGTTGCCCCACCCCCTGGGTCTAGTGTAGTGATCATACGTGTCTAATGTCATTGCTCATATTTTATAACATTTTTTGGGGACAGATAGAGCTTTTTTTGGTGGTATTTAATCACCACTACGGGTTTTATTTTTTACTGTATTAAGGAGAAATTACAGAAAATTTTGAAAAAATATTTTTTTTTTTTACGTTATGTTAGGAAACCTTTATTACCCACTTTCTTGGTAAAATATAAAAGACGGGGTCATGTTGGGTAAATACATGTCAAGCTTAAAAATTGCGTGCACTCGCCTATGGTCAATTTTGGGTATGCTAGTTTTTTTTTGCGACACTTTAAAAGCTTTTACCGCTCATCAGTTTAGTGTTATCAGTGATTGATGGCCCTAGACTTATTGCTCTCATTCCGACGTTCGCGGCGATATGTAACATGTGCGGCGTAATGGGTGCAATCGTTGTTTTTGCAGGTATGCGCACCTGACGCATGTTTACATGCGTGTATGATGGGGTGGGGACTTAAAAACGAATTAAAGAATTTAAAAAAGTTTTTGTTTTTTTGGAATTCTTTAATGTTTTTTTTTTTTTAATGTGTAACTTGAAAAAAATTTGGGGGGAAACTTTACATTTTTTTTCACTTAACTTTATTGCTATCACAGAGGGGGCTGAGAAACCCCTCTATGTGATTTCAAACTCAACTCCTGATTTAAATTGGGTTGGGCTAACTCTGGCTACATATTCCAGGTTCATCACGGTTAATGTCTTGTAGTTCAGACCTTTCTACTCTGTGGCTGCTTCAGAATGAAAATGTCAGAATGTTTAACAAGCAAGGATCTAGAAGGAGATTCCCAACTTATTTCCACAACTCATTATAACTCGAGTTCCTTAATTTGCGCAAACCTGAAGACAAGACGAATAATAAATATATATATTGTTGCACACTATTGTAACTAAAAATCAGTACAGAATAATAATCAAAATATAATTGGTGACAAAGAATATGGATCAAGTAATATCTCAATAAATATTGATAATAATTGTAGTTTATCATATTAAAGTGACATTAAACCCTCAGATTTTTTAACATGAACCAATACTGTAATGTGCGCCTTACTGTAATCCATGGTTGTTTCCCTTCTCTTTGCTGCTCTTCCTTTTAAATCTGTATCTGTTCTCATGCTGGGCAGAACTTCTGTTTTGCAGCAGACTGCCTTGTCTCTGGAATGGATACATGGTGTCTGTGTGTAGGTTCACAACCTGAGCCAGCACTACAGGAAGAGGCACTTAGCTGCAAAGGGAAGTTCTCCCACAGCATGAGAAGACATGAGGATTTAAAAGGAAGAGCAGCAAAGAGAAGGGAAACAACCATGGATTACAGTAGGGCACACATTACAGTATTGGTTTATGTTACAAAATCTGAGGGTTTAATGTCACTTTAAGTTCTGGAATACAATCACAGGATATTATTTCAAGTTAGGTACTTTGTTTTGCTGCAATTAATAGCTTCTCAGTAGCTCACAGAAGGTCAAAACAAAAATGTGCTGATTTGTCACGTGACTTCTCCCAGCCAACAGGTATTCACACTCAAACTTACTTTAACAGCACATGGGCAAAATGTGTTACACCACGCACAGGACTGGCTATAAGCCAAGAATGTATTTAAGACAAACTTCCACTAAGTTAATTTAAGTATACATCATAACTAAGCCATTGACTAGAAACTGAAATCAGCTTCAATGAGATGATACATATTTGTGTATTTATCTCTGATTGAAAAAGAAACAATTCATACTGCAGTTAGAATTCTCTCAACTCGAAGGATGAAATGGTCTAGTTAGATGTATATGGCTAGTCAATTGCCTACAGAAAAATAGACATGTATACGTTACCAGAAATTGCACAATCTTTTGTCTGAGAGATGTCAGCTTTGCGTCAATTCCCCTGGTCAGCCCGTCATCAGCTTCCAACCTCTCCCATCAGAGACTCTGTACCTCCCCCTCCTTCTTTCTGCTTTTCCAATCACATCTCCTGCTATCAACTTTCTTCAAACTTGTT